CAAAGGACTGTGACAGTAATCCATTTGAGAATCTAACTTTCCCTTAGAATATCCTATGTGGCATTATTAATAATAATAATAATAAATGGAGTCTGAGGAGGGCAGTATGTACCCACATCTTATCTCTATCTTATATGAGGTAGAAATAGTGTTCCCGATAGACCCTCAGTTCAAGACAAGTGTTTAAAAAATATAAAATATCGAAGAAAAAAAGATAAGAGGTAGAAGAGGTTCCTAGTTACGACAGACTCTAATTGATATAAGAATTGTAAGATTTCAAAAAAAAATGAAATTCTTTTTAAGTGAAAATAATTTGGACATGAATATAATTTTGGGTTGTTTTTGAAGTTTTGTGAATGATCTGAGTAAAAAATTTGAAAAACAATTTTTTGGAATTTTTTAAATTTTCGAAAAATTTTAAAATTAATCTTCAAGTGAAAATTGAAAATTTTATGGTCAAACACTAATTTCGAAATAAAAATAAAAATTCTATATCGGGCTCTAAGCTTAAGATAAATGTTAGAATCTAACTTTCCCTTTTTGTTCCTTTTTTCTCCTCTTTTTTTTTTTAATATAGAATATCCTAAGTGGCATTGTTAACAACAATAACAACAACAAGTGGGGGTATGATGTGGGTGGGGTATGTACATACCTTACCTCTACCTTATACGGGATAAAAAGATTATTTTCGATAGATTCTCAGTTCATAAAAGTGTTTGAAAAATATAAAAGTAAAAATTTAAGATAAAAATATCGGGAAAAAATAACAATCTATCGGAAAGATAGTTTTCGATAGATCCTTAGCTCAACACGGGTGTTTGAAAAATATAAGAATAAAAAAGCCAAGATGAAAATACTGGGAAAAAAATAATAGCAGCAAAATAGTAGCATGCCCAAGGTAAAAAGAAAAAAGAAAAAAATAATGATAACATATGTGGCACTGTTAAAAGGTCATTGAGTGAGTTGGGGTCATTAGTAGAATTAAAAAAAAGTTAGGGGTGCTTTTCAAACTCTTTAAAATTCAATTTAGCTGAGTTAGCATACCTACTTGATTTTTCAATTAAATTTAATGAATTGTTTAACATATATATTAAGTAATCAACTCAGTGATTTTAAAGTGATAAAAAATAAGTGATAACATATCTTCTTCTTCTTTAATTATTTCTTTTGTACATTTTATCGGGAGAGGTTTGGGATCTCAAATGTCATAGGACAGCCCAGTGCATTAAGCTCTCGCTATGCGCGGAGTCTGGGGAAGGACCGAACCACAAGGGTCTATAGTACGCAGTCTTACTCTACATTTTTGCAAGAGACTGTTTTTATGGCTTGAACCCGTAACCTTCTGGTCACATGACAGCAACTTTGCCAGTTACGCCAACACTCTCGTTCGAATCTCAAATGCCATAGATGCAGAAATATCACATACAGTCTTTCCTATTTGCAAGTAGGGGGGATAAAGACAATAGGTCCACAGCTTGTGGAGAGACCAAAGGACAGTGACTGCAGTAATCCACTTGAGAATCTAACTTTCCGTTCATTTTCTTTTCTCTTTTTTTTTTTTAATTTGTAGAATATCCTACGTGGCATCGTTAACAACAACGAGTGGGTTCCGATGAGGATAGGGTGTACACAAATCTTACCCTTACCCTCAACTCAAGACAAATGTTTGAAAAATACAAGAGTAAAAATAATTAAGATGAAAATACTAAAGAAAAAAAGGTAGGAGGTAGAAAGGTAGTTTCCGATAGACCAGAGGCGGACCTAGAATTTAAATATCACAGAGGCACCACTTTAAAAATAAAATAAAAAATTATGCATCGTAGGAGCATGGATTCACCTGAGTCATCAAAAAAGTCAAACCAGCTCCTCTGTCCAGATTTTGCGATTTGAGGGGGCCGCATAAAATATTTAAGGGATCCTCACTATATATATATATATATATATATATATAGTCTTTCAATCAAATTTGAGGGATTTTTCGAACACATATATTAAGTAATCAATTATAGGTTCAGTGATTTTAAAGTCATAAAAATTAATGTACTAACTTTATCGAAAGGTTTAAGTGAAATGATTATTTGAAATCATTAACTCATATATTTCAATAAAGTTCAAAGGTAAAGTTTACAAATAGTCATACTATTATAGATTTTTTGCATCAAAGTCAATAATTTTATTGTCACCTTATAGTCACAATACCATTAACCAAATGATCACAACAGCCAGAAAATGTAATTCCCGGTGGGTTTTTTTCCGTGGGATCTTTACACAAATAGTCGGTCATATTAATTATTTATTTGTTATAGTCATATACATAAATTATATATTGATTATACATAATTATACACATGTAATACATAAATTATGCATATATTATATATTCGCATTCACCGGCTATTTTTAATTTAAGTAATAGATCGGATGGCTATTTGGATTAATTCTTCTTTTTTGTTCCCTTTTCAACTTTTTCAAATAAATGGCCATCGAAAAAAATAAAGAAATGGAGATTCATCACACCAATAAGCTCTCGGCTACATTATCATTTTTTTTAAAAGGATTTTTACCTTCCTATGTCATGTCTTCTTCTTCTTCTTCAAGTTTCAATCTGAAATTCAGTCAAAATCAAGTCTAATCTTCACCAAATACACTCAAAATTGAGATATAAACTCCAAACAATATTCTCAATTGTTTGCAACAACACCCAATCTAAACAAATAATGGTTTTTGAAAACCTAAATTCGAATTCAAAGTTTTATGATAGATTAGTCTTCGAATCTTCAATTCCTACGACCTTCTTACTAGGTGCTGAATTTATCTCTTGAAAAAGACTATCAAACTACAGGATAATCCGATTTTCAAGAGAGCACAATACAAACGAAGTGTCACAAGTTTGAATTCAATAATATTCTTGCACTGTTAAAGTCCATACTTAGTGAGTAACAATGTAAAAGAGAAAAGGGCAAACCAGTGACAAACTAGAAGTTACTTCAATAGGTTGATTGGTAGAAGATAACTTTTAGGCTTACGTTATTGAGAGAAAAAGATAGTGAGAAAGAGTGATGAAGAAAGAAAGAAAAATAGATGAGAGAGGCGGCAGTGAGGAAAGAGGAGAGGAGACAAAAAAGAAAAATGATATAACTAAATCCCCTAATTTAAAGCATTAATAATGTATTGTATATAATTTGTAAGTAATCCTTGTTTAGGGTGGGTCATATATAAAACTAGGACAATTTTGGTAAATAAGTTTCAAATATTGTATAGAAAGGGAAAAAATCCCTTTTTAAAATTACTTCTTTTATATACTTTAGTAGGATAGATTTTAGAATTAAGAATATATTGTTTTCCACCATTATTGGTATATATATAAGTTAAATATAAAGCAAAACAATAACAATGACCTCTAGATTTTTCATTTTCCAAGAGAAGAGGTAAATTTAAGTCCTAAAATAAATTAAACTAAAGGTTCTTTTTTTAAAGGTCGTTTAAAAAAAAACTAGCATGGTAAAAAGAAGTTCACACTATTGGGTTGTTGTTGTTGTTGTTGTTGGTAAAGAAGTTCACAAAAAGTTACTTTTTCGATTATTGTGATCATTTGGTTATCAAGATTAGGAGTGGCAAACGGGCGGGGCGGGTCGGATATGGTTCGGGTTGAAAATGGGTAATGAAAAAACGGATCAATTATCCGACCCGACCCATATTTAATACGGATAAAAAACGGGTTAACCGGCGGATAATATAGGTTACTCATATTATCCATGACTTCTTGTATATGATCACTTTTGGAAGTATTCTTAGTCTCTCTAATTTGAGGAACCCCAAATTTGAGGTTTTACAAATGTAAAAGTTAGACTCATTGGTTATCCATTGGTTACTCATTAGTTATCCATTTTCTAAATGGATAATATGGTTCTTATCCATATTTGACCCGTTTTTAAAAAGTTATTATCCAACTCATTTTTTAGTGGATAATATGGATGGTTAACTGTTTTCTTTGAATCATTTTGCCATCCCTAATCAAGATGATACTTGTATGACTTTTAAGTGACAAAACAAAGTTGTAATTTTTTTTATAGTTATGATTATTTGTGAAATTAGTCCTATTCTGGGGGCTTACATGCTAATAAAATTGGAAAAACTACATTGTATAGCTGCTTCCAACACTATAGTCGGCAATATATATTTTTTTGCATATTTCTTGTATATTTAACTAGCGCATGTAATTATTTTTAGCCGATTAGCCAAACGTGTAACTTGCCCAATAAAATATGCAGTGAACTTTAAGGGTCGTTTGGTTGGGAAACAAGTTATCTAGGATAGTCGGTTAGCCAAATGTGTAACTTGCCCAATAAAATATGCAGTGAACCTTAAGGGATCGTTTGGTTAGGAAACAAGTTGTCTCACGATAGCCGATTAGCTAAATGTGTAACTTACCCAATAAAATATGCAGTGAACCTTAAGGGGTCGTTTGGTTGAGAAACACGTTATCTGAGGATTAATTATCCTGAGATTAGTTATCTCGAGATTGTTATCCCACCCTCTCATAGAGATAAAAGTGACACTATAATCCCGGAATAACTAATCACAGGATTAGTTATACCGCAATTTTATCTCAACCAAACGTGGAATAAAAACAACAACAACCCATTATAATCCCACTTAGTAAGGTCTGAGGAGGGTAGTGTGTACGCAGACCTTACCCCTACCCTAGGGTAGAAAGACTGTTTCCAAATAGACCCCCGACATCCTTCCCTCCAAAAACTTACCACCTTGCTCTTGGGGAGACTCGAACTCACGACCTCTCAGTTGGAATAAACGTGGAATAAACTCATCTCAAATTTAATTCTGTAATTAATTATCCCATATTCCCCTGCCAAACGAGCCATGAAGAGGCAGGGAGGAAATCCAACAATGAGAAAATATGACCGTTAGAGACGCCATAAACAAAAGCCAAATATAATTCAAAATTTGCCATTAATAATGATGACTATCTAATCCTTTAATTTCAATCCAACAATTGGATTCCTCATTAATATTACCGAATCAGATACCATGTACAAATCTTAAAAAATCCAAAACACACACACACACACACATCATTTTTGCTAAGTTCTGTGGTCACATATTGTTCAGGTGATAAAGGGACATTACGCTCAAGCTTGATTTTTTTTTTCTTCATTAGACTCGTTACGTTGTTCGATTGGAGAAGTGGGGTTGTTCATAGATGGCAAAAAAGAGTGATGAAGAGATGAGAAGTGAAACGGTAGCAGCAGCTGAAGGAGAGGCAAAAATGGAGGGTTCTGTTGAATCTCATCCTTATGCATTTCACATTTCGGGTCCTCGAAATGTTTCTTCTCCTAATTGGAGAGATCTCATTAATTCTAGTTGGTTAGTTCTCTGTGTGTGTGTGTGTGTGTCCATTTTCTTGATTTGTTTTCAAAGTTGCAAGCTTTAGTCCTTACCTGATCATATAGGGTGTGATTTTTTCAGTTGGGGGATTTTAGTGCGGTGTTTGTCCAGATTTTCTTACCATAATTGGTTTTCATATCTCATGAAGTAAAGGACAACATATTTACCATAATTGGGTTTTTCTTTTCCTAGAAGGAACTTATAAATCTCTCATATTTGGCTAGTGTTTTTTTTGTAGTAAAAGGTTTGGAGTTCTATAAATTAAAATCCGCCTTTTTCATTCATTAGCATCCACAATGTAGCCATACGGGGTTTGAGAGTCGTGTTTAGGGGGATAACTTTACGGGATAAGTGTGTCACTTGTGTTTGCCTCTTCGTGAACTTGTTCTCCCGATATTTTGTACTCTTTTTTTATATAGCGGATTGCTCATCTTCCCCCGTGGACGTAGATCAGTTGACCGAACCATGTTGGATGTTTGTGTCTCTTTTAGTATATTTCTCTTTTGTTGTATGATTTATCGTGGTTGAAGATATGCGTCGCTAGCTTCCACAGGAGACTTGATTTTTTCGGTCCTAACATTTAGACAGTGAATTTTGTGACTTTTTCTTGATTTCAGATTTCATTGTTTTCTAGCTTTGTATTTGGTTGATTTTTGTGGTTTAACTGAATTCTAGCTGAAGCTGATTCTTATTTCTAAGGACCTTATTTATATATTTAGATTCTTGGCTTAGGCTTTCAGTTGAAGTTAATGGTGGTGTCGCGCAGCCAATTCTCCTGTTATCTCTGAAAATATAGACAGTGAGCAATTTTTTTTTTGTTCTTCTAGCTGGCGTATACTGATTTTTCAAACCATAATAAGCAACGTACAAAAAGTTAAATGTACGCAGAGGCAGATCTAGGATGGGTTTTACGAGTTCAACTAAACCATTGCTTTTGGCTCAACCTTTGTATTCATATGCGAAAGAATTAAAATGTATATGTATACAGTATACATTCATTCTGTACCCAGTGGCACTAGATCTTGGACTTGCCACTGAATTTAGGGATCAAATGTTAGTTGTTTCTTGTATAAGTCCAGCGTGATATTGTTGGATTTTCAAGGTTTAGCCATGCCATTGTGCGTGAAATAGGTCGCTTTTTTGGGTAAATCTATAGCATATCTGTGATTCTTTAATGAATCAATCGCTAAAACACCAAATAAGTTCTTATGGATTGTCATTTGTCGGACCAACGAATGTAGTTAATGGATTCAACTATTTTTTTCTAGCCTGAGGCAGTAGAATTTGACTTCTGCAGTGTATGAATCAAGTCATGGTAATGATTTTCTTGAAACTGAATAGGCAAATGTGAGTCAAACTCAACCTGCTTATGGCTCTCCTTATGGTAATAGACTGGAAAACGCGTTGCATTGGCATTATTACAGATGTGAGATGTCCATTCGAAATGTTTCTTGGTACAGTTTTATTATGTCCATGTAATTTCAAGATACTTGTTTATACTAGTCTGTTATTTTGTTATTGCTTTACTCATACTTTGATAGGATGGAATTTGGTTAATGTCCTACTATGTGACTGTTGATATATGCCTTTTTGTTGATTTCAGTATTAACTGGTATCTTCATAGCGATGTTAGTTAACTCAATCACTTGATATCTTGTGGTTGAGCCAAAACTTCCATTATTTGATCTCAAGAATGAGGAAGATCACTGGTGTTGTCCATAAATTGTCAGCGTCATCTTTTTATCTCTTTCTCTTTTCATTCTCAATATGCAACTACTATCTTATCTTTCACCTCGGTTTCTTAGTATTTTGTTGTTGTTACAGTTTGTTGCTACTGTTTCCTGTTGTCGTTATTATCTTTCTGGCCCTCTTTGTTGATATTGCTTGTTTCTACTGTTTCTTTTAATCTTTCTTGAGCCTAGGGTCTATCGGAAACAGCCTCTTTACCTTCCCAGGATAGGGGTAAGGTCAAGGTTTGTGTACACACTACCCTCCCTAGACCCCACTTGTGGGATTTTACTGGATTGCCGTTGTTGTTGTTGTTGTGCTCCTGATCTTACAAAAAGAATATCAACTTACTATTCTTCAACTCTGACGCGAAATAAGTTATTCAATTGGGCAGGAAGGATGCTAACTACAAAAGAACTGTAATGGCCTGTTTTGTCCAAGCAGTTTACCTTCTTGAAATCGACAGACAAGAAAACAGGACAGAAGAAAATGCACTTGCTCCAAAATGGTTGATACCCTTCAAGTACAAGTTAGTCGAGACTCTAAACGATGAACGAGATGGATCCATTTTTGGTGCAATCTTAGAATGGGACAGATCAGCAGCATTGGCTGATTTTGTACTAATCAGACCAAGTGGTGCACCTAGGGCTGTTGTAGCCTTAAGAGGAACACTTTTAAAAAGCCAAACAATGAGAAGAGATATCGAAGATGATCTCCGTTTCTTAGCTTGGGAAAGTTTAAAAGGTTCCGTAAGATTCAATGCAGCACTGAAGGCGTTAAAATCAATCGCCAACAAGTATGGAAGCAATAATGTGTGTATTGTAGGCCATTCACTTGGTGCTGGATTTGCTCTTCAAGTTGGAAAAGCGTTAGCGAAAGAAGGTATACATGTAGAGGCACATTTGTTCAATCCACCCTCAGTTTCACTTGCTATGAGTTTCAGAAACATTGGCGAAAAAGCTGGATTCGCGTGGAAAAGATTCAAATCATCAATGCTCTCGTCAAACACTGATACTGAAACCAGTTGCAACGAAAATATGCCATCATTTCGGATAGGTCTAAAACAATGGGTGCCTCATTTGTACATTAACAACAGCGATTATATATGCTGTTCGTATACTGATCAAGATAACGATTTACAAGACAAGCACGCTGATAAGGAGAACGCGAAACCAGCAAACGGACATTTTGCTGGTGCAAAGCTTTTCTTGTCATCAAATAAAGGGAAACAGAAGTTTCTTGAGGCACATGGATTGGAACAATGGTGGTCTGATAATTTGGAATTACAAACGGCTATTAGTAACAGCAAGCTTATTACTCAGCAGTTGAAGTCTCTGTACACTATTCCTGCTTCTCAATTAACACAAGCGAAGCGCCAATGAATTGAAATGCTTCCTTTTTTGTGTGTGCATCTTTATTTTTCATACATTTTTTCTCCTTGCGCTTGTATTAAAAATGAACTTTTCGAAATTTATATAAAGGGAGGAGCTATAAAAGAACCTCAATATGGAATTTAGTTTATGATCAAGCTCAACTTTTCATTCTAAGAGTATAAGCTTTCTAGTCTCCTTTGTGATCTATAGGTCACGAGTTCGAGCCGTGGAAGCAATCATTAATGCTTGCATTAGGGTAGACTGGTAGTTGTCTACGTCACACCCCTCGGGGTGCAACCCTTCCCCAGACCCTGCGTGAACACGGGATGCTACCCTTCCCCGGACCCTGCGTGAACGCGGGATGCCTTGTGCACCGGCCTGCCATTTTTAGTCTCTTTATGCACACCGATAAAGAACCTCAATATAGAATTTAGTTTATGATCAAACTCATTTTTTCATTCTAAGAGTATAACCTTTCTAGCCTCTTTTGTGACCTATCTGCCACTAAAGCTTGCATTATGGTAGGCTATCTGCATATCACCACCCCTTGGGGCGCAGCTCTTCCCCGAATGTTGCGTGAATGTGAGATGCCTTATGCACCGTGCTATCCTTTTTTAGTATCTTTATGCAGGGCGATAGAATATTTTGTTCGAGTAAATGTAAGCACTAGCTTTAGCCAGTTCATGAAAACCATAGCCTTCCTTCCTTTTCTCAGTAAGTTTGAATTGGTTAAAATTTTGCCCAAACAAAAAGCATAGAGAAGAAAAATCAAGTGACTTAATATGGATTCAAATTTTCTTGTATAATGCAAATGGCAAAGCCAATTTTTTTTTTTTATGACAATCGACATGAACATGGGAATGCCTTGTGCACCGGACGGTCATTTTTGGTCTCTTTATGTATGTCGATACAATGTTTTGTTCGATTAAATGTAAGCACTACCTTTAGATAATTCATGAAAATCATAGCTTTTCTTCTCTAGTAAGTTTGAATTCGTTAAAATTTGCCCCAAAACAAGAAGAAAATTCAAGTGACTTAATAGGGATTCTAATTTTGTTTTACCATGCAAACGGCAAAGCCAAAAATTAAAATAATTACAATCGACTCTGCTGGGGATCGAACCCAGAATCTCTGGTTCCGTAGACCAGCGCCTTATCCATTGGGCCACAGAGTCCTTGTCGTCATACTCAACATAAAGATAATCTAAAAGGGAGAATGACACAGTTACCCACAAAAACAAAACTATTTACCCTTATCTATCCATTTGTTTTTCTACCCATCAAACTAATTACATTTCCTATCCATAGTAGTTTTTGTGGGGAATTTTCTCTTTTTTATTTCTATGCTTCTTTTCTTTTTTTCTTTTCTTTTTTTCTCATTTTCTTCTTATTTTTTTCTTTTTTCTCTTTTATTCATTTATTTTTGCCCAGATCGTATTATTGTTATTTTTATCATAACTTATTTCGTACTCAAATTTGACTCCTTATTTTTTTATTTCTTTATTTCTTGTTCCTTTTCTAATTCTACGTGATTGCGATGCAAACCTTGATCTACTTCCCTACAAATATCAGTACACACTCTACCATTAGCAATAACACTACCAGTTATGGAGCAAGAAAACATAATATACGGCCACTAAATCTCCATATATACTAGTTAAAATAGAAATGATAATAAAATATTGAAAAATGCAATAAAAATATAAGTAGCAAAAAATAACTTCTGGTACCATATGATACCAATATGGTATATATGTATACCAACAGAGTATATAATTGCTCTAGAATATTGCTACAACTATACTATACTACTGTACCAAAACAGTAAAGGATGCAAAGTATGAGAAATTTACATGCTCACATTGCAAGCTAAATATTCGCAAGACAACTTGCTCATTCTGTATACTAACAGGGTATATAGTTGTATGGAGTTGTTCAAACAATTGCCTATAACTATAAAAAACAATTACATAAAAACTATATTGTTAGCATATTATACCAGTATAGTATATAGCTATACCAACAGGGTATACAATTGTACGCAAAGAATTTAAAAAAGGTTTTTTCATTATATAGTATACTATAATTGTATATCATTGGAATGTACTATATACCAAAATGGTATATAGTATATCATTTTGGTATACAATACAAATTCTTCTTCGTCAATTCAATGCAATAAATTATACATTATTGAATTAAAGGATTGGTTCATTCCTTCAAAAAAAAAAAAATAGTAGTATACTATTGTAGTAAAGTATATACTCTTGAATTAATTATTTATACTAATAGAGCATACAATCTACCATTTTGGTATACTGTACAAATCTGTCTTCTTTGCTAGTTCAACTCAATTTCAACCCAAAATTTAAAAATCTAGTCTAAAATCTCCGCCAAATTGACTCAGAATATAGCCACGTCCTCCAACTAACATTTCGAACATACCCAGTCAAAATCTAATCAAAATAACCACAAACTCAACAAACCCAATTTATGAGTTCCAAGCTTCAAGGTCCTCCAATGGCAGATTAATGTTTGTCACAATTAAATCTTTAAAAAATCATCATTAACACCAAAACTTGCCACAAAGAGTGTCGGCAATTAAAATTTATTATTACATACATAACCTCACAAATTTGTAGCAAACTGAAATCTTAGAAATTTTTATCCTTTTTGATAGATCCTTTTTTTTTAGACTTTTTTTGCTGGGACAAATGATAAAGATAGGAGAGAGAGGTAGATAGATCATATATCTAATGAAAAATTGTAGGGATATGGGTAAAAGGAAAGAAAGAGAAAGAGCAGAGAAAATGATAAGAGAAGAAAGCAAAAAGGAGGAGAAAAATTAGCTTTAACAAGAACAAAACAGAAAGAAGGATTAACGAGGAATTACTTTTGGTTGCATAGGTATATATTGTAATTATTTCTAGAATAGGTAAAGGCAGGTAATTATTTTGGGTAGAATAGGTATTATAGCATAATTTGCTCAAATTAAAATATACCGTTATATTTAACATAGATTAGAATAGCATGTTGGAAAAAATTGGATGATTATGGAGAACAAAAGTTTAGCTTGAGGCGTGTCAAGGACACTGTCATTAAGGATATTTCGCATACACCGTGATAAATAAAATTAGGCGTATCCCCCAGAATTCAACAAGCTCTTCTAGTATAAATTAGGAGCAGAAACAACAAAGATTGAATAAAATAAAACCCATTACAAAAAAAATAGCAGATTGCTTTTTCACAATCTTGAAAGTAAAAAGAACTTGAGAATTTATAGATAAAGAACAACCATCTCATCAGATGGCTAGCTAAAATGCTCCCAACATATATGACATTAAAAACTAAAGAATTAATAAGAAAAAATGTTACAAAACAAATCTTAACGTTTTGTAACTTCTAAAGCCATTCAAGGCTATTTCTAAAGGATTATAATAATTTGAACAAAAGAATTCAAAAGCCATTAATAGCTAATCAAAGATGGTTTTGTATGAATGTTAATAAAAGATCAGTTATAATATTATAATAATAGCTATTAATCATGGATAGTAAATGATAATGAATATGTTATATTTTTATTTTTGAGATATAAGAATTATCTTCTAACATAGCACACTTCAAATAATTCAAAAAGGACACTATTATAATCAATAACTTTGTTCTGTGAATTTATTTCGGGAAACATTTAGGAATCATTATTTAAACTATCGATATGATCGAATCATTAGTGATAGAGTTGAAATAATTATATGCACTAAAAATTAAAAAAAAAAATAGGCCATGATAAATAAGCATCTAAAAATTGCAATAGATCTTTTATAAATAATGATTTATGCATAAATGGTTCAGATCAATTTCATTTCCTCGAATATTGATTTAAAAGAAAACAAAAGAGAGAGATTGAGAGAGGAAATTATCGGTTCGTGCTCTAAAATATTTTCATTCCTTAATATACAAAAATATATATTAATTTTGTTCACTCTACAATTTATTACTATTTTCTCTATTAATATACGAGAGACAGAGAAAGGAAAAGGTACAGTGGAGGATCTAACTATAGGTTAGTGAAAGGTTAAATTTAATATCAGAGAAGGCACGCCGCAAACTACAACGACAACAAACTCGGTGTAATATATGTACACATGTGGGGTCAAGAAAAAGTAATTTATACCCAGACCTTACTCCTGCTTCCAAGAAAGAAGGCAAAGAGGCTATTTACGGCAGACCCTCGGCTTAGGATTTTTTTTTTTTTGCAAACTGTTAAAACAAATTGATTCCTTTTCTTGAAAATCTAATGTCTGGTGACCAGAGGAAAAAACAAAAATTGAAAACTATGTTGTTATATAATGCAGAGGAGCAGGGGAAGTGTCATTATATGAGTATTGACCAATGACCAGGAAGACTACGTAAGAGCATCTCAAAAAATTAAGATTATCAAAAAGTTCAATACAACATTCTTCATGTTTGACTAGACAGACAATGAGAGCTGTGAACAAAGATATAAAATGAGCCAGTACAACAACGACGACGACCCAGTAAAATCCCATTAGTGGGATCTGGAAGGGTAGTGTGTACGCAGACCTACGGAGTAGAGAAGCTGTTTTCGAAAGACCCTCGGCTCAAAAAGATGAAAAGAGACAATATCAGTACCACCAACAGATACCAGAGGAATAATAACATCATAAAGACCAGAAAATAGTTGAAAATGAAGCACTGACTACTATAATCCATTTCTTTGAATCTGTGCACTATCAGTGTAACACTACAACTGTGAGAAAAAATGACAATCAATTGAGGTAAAATATATAAAGAAAGTAAGACACTAAACGAAACATAGATAACGGTCTGCTATGTGTTCATCTGTGACAATATTATTGAAACAAAAATATGGGGAAGGGCATATACCAAGAGAAGATGATTTGAGCTTTGCATTCTCTCAAAGCTCCTCTAACGATTCCCAGATAAAGAAGAGCCGATTTCTAGCATCAAAGGATAGACAGGACTAAATTCCTTGTCCCCTCTTGACCGTACCTTAGCAGCATAGTCGTCCAGAGTAGCTTTAATACCTTTCCAGATTTGGTCCTCCCCTTGTGAATCCATCCAGAGTGAATACTGCGTCGGAGTAAGTCTATTTCTTTGCAATGGTGATTGTAGTTCTTCAGGCCCGCGTGAGTAAAGATGGTGCAGTATGACACTTGGCGGTAGATCTTGACGAAGTGGGGATGATGCAAGTTGAGATGTTTCCAGGAATATAACAGGCCGAAATGCTCTAAGTGCTCGATATGGGGCACCGAGTTGTTCTACTGGAAACAAGTTTTGGCCAACTGCTAATTCAAGTTCAGCCATGTCCCTCGCCAATCTCAACTTGCCTGATTCTGAGAGAGGTCTAACAAGTGAAGCGTGCCTGATGAAAAATATCAGAACTCTGGACGCCATGCTCCTCACAAGTCTAGTACAAATAGTTTCTGAACCTGTAGTAATGCTACTTGACGAAGAAGGTAACAGCCTGGACAGGAATTCGCTACGAAAATGGAGAATACTCTGCTGCAGCTCTTCCATGTAAGGTGATGCATTATTGTCCATAGCAGCATCCATGCCGAGACTACCAAAATTTTGACCGTGAATTTGCAAGATGCACGACTCCAGTCGATCAAGCATTGCTTGGAATAGTGATGTCACTGAATCACCTGCAACCCCATAGATAGATCCCAGTGCAGGAGACAGAATATCGGTTGCAATAGTTGGTAGTCCTGCCACCATGGATGATATGCGGGTATGAATTTCTTGTAGATGCTGGTACAATGCAAAGTTCTTCAGCTGTGCTGGAGTTGCAGCACCTGTTATTTGCCGTGCCTCAGGCCCAGTAGATATCTGCAGATAAATTAAATGTATGAAACTTGAGTAAAAGTTTATCCTGAATGTATTTCCCCAAGTTAAATTCATTAACTCAATTACTCAGATGATGATGTAATGAAATTGTCAAAAAGCAATTTATCGAGGATAGAGAAACATTATTGATATCACCAGACCATCCCGACTCACCAACCCTCAATCCCATGTAAACGGGGGTGGGGAGAACAGAGAAAACATTTAACGAAAATCACTTGCTAATGCTGCCAAAGAACAGAGAGAGAGGGGCTGAACAGCACCCATCAATCTCCGAGCAAACTTCCACCTCTCGGAAAAGGAAAAAAAAAGGAAGAGAGGTAGTGCTTATCAGTTGGTACGAAAACTCAGCGTAACATACTCATAAGAATATCAACCATTTATAGTTACAGTAATAAAAGGAATTCAACTAATTCTAGACATCAAGCTTAGAGTACCAAAAGCCTACAAAGATTAATCCACTCAAAGTTGCTAGATGTTTAATAAACAGAAAATGTAGGACCTCAAAGAACAAAGTTATATGAAAGTGCAGAATAGCACGAGAAAGAGCAAGAAAAAGTGGAGAAGAAGAAATATAAACGCAAAAGAAAAATGTTTCTTGGTCAGTGTTTGTAATTCACAAATCCTGCATTTTCCTTTTTCCTTTTCTGTTTGGGAGGGTGGCATGTATAGGCATTTGCTTAGCAATTAGTTTCTTATTCAACTTTTCCTCTTTCAAGAACTTCCACTATATCTTTCAAACAAATCACTATGCAAACAAATTTATCCCCTTCAAACAATAATCACAAGCATAGAGAACTAACTGACTGCAAGGTATAAATAATTACTTTCCATTTCATTTTGCGTTGTAACATCATCCAATCTAAGACAAGGAGAAACTCAAATTGTGGTTGTTGTAGTAGGTCCTTGAATAAACTTTTTTTTTCTTATTTTTCTAAGTCGGGTTCATGAAAACTTTAGTAGGATAGAACAAATCATTCAAGATTCTTCCATTTGAGGTTCGTTAAATATGATCTGCAGTACTTTGTCAACTTGCATCAATCCATACTCTTTCCCTTTTTTAGTAACACGGATCAATGCAAAATCTTTTAGATTACTATTAGTTCAGCTTGCTAATATATACTGGTCTTTACTCTCTGATAAAAAAACATATATATACTGGTCATACTATATATATATATACATGCAAGATAGAGGAACTCCCAACCCTAGGGCTAAGATTAACGCCTTCTCCTTTCCCCTGATTGCAGCACTTTCTAGTTGCTGTAAGAACGAAATTGATGAAATTTCTGGAAATGCAGACCTATCTCTACAATATTCATATCTGAAATGGCAACTCTCCCTCACTTCCACTCGACAAACAAAAGGAATAGTATTATTGAAGTGTAAAACAGCCCCTTCAAATGTTCAACGTACCCCAAACTGCAGATATCACATAAATCATGAAGAAATATAGGAAGTGAGTGCATGCTATATAGATTTGCTTCTTGAATTTATAGGAAGTGTTTCTTCAAAGAACGTTCTGCCATACAAATGTGAAAGCATACCTGGTATTCTGTTCTTTCTGAAAGTAGAAGCAGAACTTTGTTGATCTCACGCAAGACAAGAAGGGTTAACCGAGCATCCATCTGGACAGCTTCTATTTCTTCTTGAATTCGTGATATAATCCTTGAGATATGTTCTTTTGAGGGAATACTTCCACGACTGGACACTGGAAATACAGAATTAACAAGATCCGAAAGACGACTCAGACAGAGGGTTAGGAAAGCAGTCTGGAATATTTCAACAGAAGATAACATTTGGTCCTTTGCTTCTGAACTGAGAGCTGGTGGAACTCCTTTGACATCTGTATCACGTGAAATTCTTTCAAGGAGGTTTTCTAACATAGAGAAGAGTTTTGGATACCCAACAGTGAATATCTCCTTAACAAAGCTTGATGCAGTGAAAGTAGACTTCATTTGGTTAGCAAAGGATTTAACCAGTGCCTCCCAAACACGATCCGTCAATATAGGATCACCTTCCTGATAAATATGTAATAATGTAAGCAACCACGGAAAAGAAACCAACAAATCATTTATAAGAATGAAAAAGATAATCATGAAACACTGTTTTATTGTGTATTTGAATTTTATAGTTTTCTTTTTCTTTCTTTTCTATTTTTTGGTTGGTTTTCGAGGGTGGGGGTGGGGGTTCCATGTGCTTCCTGAGACAGAGGTTCCCCATTTTCTGGGGATTTGGCAAGGGAAGAGGTAGGGCATGATTCTGTAACCAATAAAGTTTGAAGAAAACAGAAGACAGATACATATGACTAAACACAAATCCAGTTCAAAATTAGGTACTTGTCCAAGAAATCCAGTGTACCCAAGGAACAGTGTCCCCTAAGACATATTATTGTTCCCAAAAAACAAAACATTGCCCGTTGTTAAGTCCACTCATTGGAAAAATAAGATGGGTTATCGAGAATATTCAGTTTCTAATTGGGTACATGGATAGATAAAATCTCCGAAGCAGTAATTGTTCTAAGGTACCAGTTGAAATTATGTGAATATTTCTAAGTAGGCCAAGCCCCACAAATGCAATCAAAACATAGTAGCATATTTAAGAGAAGGGAAGATTGACAAGTAGCTAGACATAAGAGCAGGATTTCAGTAGATCCAGAAAAAAAATTCCTTCTCCGATCCTTAGTATTTTTAATGAAACCTTCTCAAATCCTTAATATGTGCATTATAAGAAAATTAGTGGCGAGAGGGCATTATTCTTAGCAGATGAGTGAACCTCTGCACAGTGAAAAGGAAGGCAATAACTGTTGCAGTAAAAACAACCCCTCTCTGTTACGCCTTTTTTTTTATAGCGGTGGCGTCTAGGCCAACTCGCACACCTACTGGATACCTGCTACCTCCCACTGACACAAGTACTGAGTAATTTTTCTAGCAAGGCTTAGGCAAATGGTAAAACATCATCCGGCATTTTTGCCTCTGTCGGGACTGGAACCATGGTCTCCCATAATTTTTGTCCCACTTCATTGGTTGTTAGACCAAACCCTTGAGTTCACTCTCAGTTACTTTTTTCATCCATGTTTCTAAAAGTATCACATTTTTCACCAGAACAATCACCTAATCTCACTAGAAAATAAATGGAGCCGGTTATTTCACCACCCTAAGGGTAAGAGGGTTGGATTCTTTATGGTTCGCTCCAAAATATGAACCATCAAATTCTGGTGGGTGCTAGTCACCTTAAGTTAATAATTCACATGTACCCTGCTTGCACAAATTTCTGTTGCTTCTGTGAATCTATACAACCTTATCTGATGATCCTGCAACCAGAACAACTAAAGAAAACCCCACAACCATCAGAAGTAGTAGGACTACAGCCAACACCAACCACTAACATGAAACTATTGTTTTTTCAAAAAAGAACTTAAATTAATAACTACAACCAACAATGACTCCTTTACTGATTTTTTTGTTAAAAGACAAGAATCTGAATCTTCCCACAACTTTTCTAACACCAAGCTGAAAACCAAGACTTATTCTATAAAGCTGTTATTTCTTATATAAACAGAAGAAGACTGATAAAGGGAACTTACTATAAAAGCTCATTAAAACATTTTTTAGGTAGAATACCTTGTACCCAAAAGTAGAAAAGTACCACTATCCTCCCATTTCAATGAAAAACAAGATTTCACAGTAAAAAAGAACTTTTCATCAAAAAAGAAAGTGAAATAGGAGAACTGCCTCCCATAAATGCACAAAAATTGCCAAGGATCACTCATTATGCCATGATACAATTCAAAATAGAGACTTGACTATAGGGGTTGACTTCTCATTTCAGCCGCAATTATTAGATTCAAGCTTCATTCTCCATAGCTTCGAAATGCTTGTTCTTGAAATACTAGTAGAGCATCTACTTGGATGGTTTCATAGCTATGTTGCTCGGACTTCTAAAATATACTGCCGGGTACGGGTCAAATCTTTCAAAATTAGTGCATTTTAGGAGGATCCGACAAGGGTGGGCAGCATTTTGGAGAGTCCGAGCAACATAACTTCTTACCAATTTCCAAGCTTGGTGAGTACCATACTAGGTCATTAAGTGGAGTTTTAATATTATATTTTATTGTGCAACTAATGTTGAGGATAATGTGCAACTAATAGCTATGATTTCAATACAATAGCTATGTTTCAGAGACTATTCAGCGGAGAATCGACTACAATTCCTTGAAAATGCCAAGGTTTTTTCAAGTTTTAAATTACAAAAATTCATGGAATTTGAGCTGTGAAATCAGTCACTGATGCTTGCATCAGATTAAATTGCTTACATCACACACCCTGGAGTGCGGCCCTTCCTTGGACCCTGCGTGGACGCCGGATGTTTTGTGCACCGGGCTGCCCTTTTTTTATGGAATCAGATAAAATGCACTTTTAATTTCATTTTGCAATTTGTTAGCATTTTACTATAGTAAGAATGCCTGAGCCATAAATGAACTATGTCATTATACTACTCCACAAAAAGATCAGCAAATAGAAGAGATCTATAGAGGAGAAACTTGTGACAGTGCTCCCTGGGGCTAGCCAAAATAGAAACATCTCTTTACTTGCTCTCAGCTTCAACCATTCCTTAATAAATAATAACTCAACTATACTATCCTTTTGGTAGCAGTAAACCAGAGTTATCAAAGGCGAAAAGCACAAAAAAGCTCTAAGGTCCGTTGGGGCTTTAAGCATGAAGCACAAATAAAGCGTGGGCTTTAATGAAAAAAAGCGCAACAGGAGAAAAAGTAAAAATATGCATGAAGTCTCCAATACTAATCATTATAAGCATGAATAACAAATATATGGACAAAGAAATTGAAAAAATGTTCACGATAAAGTGAAATATCAATTGTTTAAGGTCGCCTTTTCAAGATTACACTCATTGGCAAGGAAAAATATGCCTTAGAGCTTTGATGCGACACTAAAGTGCCCACAAAGCGAGGCGAAACGCTCAACGTGTTTTGAGCCTCACTTCAGGGCTTAAGCGCGCCTTTGACAACACTACAGTAAACCATTTCAAGACTGATAAACTTAATATTCCTCTTCATTGCCACATTTGACACCCTTAAACACAGGACTGGATTGGTACAAAACGAACATCAGTAAGGACAGTTATCAGTACTCCCCATAATTTCAGTTAATTTCATTTTTTTTTTCACAAAGTACTGCTTTTAGAAATCCTGCTACTAACTGCATCAGGTTATATTCATCTCATTCTTTTTATCAAGAAGTTATATTCATTTCATTTGAAACCAACCTCTCTAGCAAAGGGACCAAAGCAGTTACTTCCTTAAGCTGGCTCAATTGCTTCTATCTAGCTATAAAGTTATAATCAAGTTTTATCAATTCTAAGTTCCGAAACGGGGCAACATGTTCAAGCTCAACGCAATCACAACATTTTAGACTACAAATAACTCGATATGAGAAAGACATCACATCATATAACTCCTTTAAAACGATTCATATCAAGTAGAAACACATTCATTCACACACCTGCATGACTTCATCGAGCAGCAAGACATGCGTAAAGGGGTCTCTTTTCTTGGACAAAACCCTCTGCAAATGCCAAACAGCAACCACAACAGAATGTAACTGGTCCATACAACCATTCATCCGTTGCCACAATGCATCCTTCGCCTTTGCGCTTCCTCCAAACTGAGGTGTTCCACTTCTCTGCACACCTCCTGGCCCACCAAATCCACCACCAACAGAAACAGCTTTCATATCCAAAGCTGTTGTTATACTCTTCACTCCCATTGCCTTATACTTACTCACTAACCCATCCACTGTCCCCCTCAACTCCCCCATATTATAAAACACCTGAAGCCCAGCTCCAACTTCAGCTTGATTCAAACCCTCAAGCCCATTCTCCAAAACCTTCATCCCTTCGGCCCGTAATTTCAGCCCAATTTCAACAACCCATTTCAATTCCAAATCAACCACATCAATCCCAGATAAATGATACTCATTATAAAGTGATAATATCTCAAAATGCAGCTGTGCAGCTTTAGAAAGATCCAATTTTTCCGGGTCATGGGTCGGGTCCATGAGATCCCGGAGTTTTTTAGATAATCTCAGGGTTCGAATCGTAGACTGAAGAAGCTCGGTTGTAGAATGCAGGTTGTTAAGCTGAAGGGTATGTTTGGAAATTAATTGATGAGGATCGGAGAGTTCGGAACGGACGCGGCGGAGGGAGGATTGAAGGGAGGAGACGGAGGAGCGGAGGGAGGAGAGAGCGGATTCAGCGGCACGCAATGAAGTGAGCTGGTTGAGGAGATCGTGGTGGCGCGTGAGTACTTCGTGACGGAGTTGATTGTTGAGGAGATTAAGACCTTCTTGAAGCTTCTCAATGCGTGAAGCAGCGGAGCCGGAGGAAAGTGCGGCGGAGGAGAAGGTAGTGGAATCGAAGTCGGAGGAGAGGAATGAGGAGAAAATTGGATCGGATGTGAAGGAGTCGAGTGGGGATGGGGATGGAGTGAGTGGGGTATGGGGAGTGGGGGTGGGGTTAGTAGTGGTGGCGGATCTGAAAGTTGAGAGGCGTTGAAGAGGTGAGGCGGACTGGGGTGTAGAGGGTGGGTGGTGGGGTGATCTCTGGATCGCCGGAGACGCCATTGTTTCCGGCCACCGGCGAAATTAACAATGTGGTGGTTTTTGGAACAACTTCGATCTTTTCGAATAGAGTGATTACGCCATGGACTTCCGTACTTCCTTGAAATGTAAATCTTAAAAATTAAACTCCGATCGGAAAATTTGAGTTAAATATGGTGGGCGTTTGGACACGAGAATCGTAAAATTCCAAAAAAAAAAAAAAAAAAAAGTGAAAAAACTTTTCAAATGAAATATAATATTTAAAACTTAGAGTTGTGTTGGACGTGAATATAATTTTTGGTTGTTTTTGAAATTTTGTGAGTAATCTGAGTAAAAAATTTAAAAAATAAATTTTTTGAGTTTTTAAAATTTTCAAAAATTTTAAAATTTATCTTCAAATAAAAATTAAATTTTTAAATTTTATGACTAAACACTAATTCTAAAAAAAGGGAAAAATAGTTCTTATGTCCAAATGGGCTCATAAAATATTGAGTTCGCCTAAAAAAAGGATTAACATATTCTCATAGTTTTTTCTTTCTTTCAAATATCTTTTATCACTTCTCCAAAGTTCTATGTTTTTTATCCTTTTTTTTTCTTTTTTTTTTGGTTTTGTAAAACTTGTTTCTAGAAGTTGCAAACAAACAAAAAAAACTTGTAATAAAATTTCACTGTCACCATTTTTTTTTGTGTAAGGACAATATCTTACTCTATACGAAACCTATGGAACCATTCCAAGCTACAAGAGGATTGAGACATGGTGATCCATTCTCACCATTTCTTTTTATGCTTGGTATGGAGTACCTCACAAGGAGTTTCAAGACTTTGAAGTATAAGCCAGATTTTAACTTCCATCCTAAATGTGATAAACTAAATATCATTCAACTAGGGTTTGCAGATGACCTATTGCTATTTTGTAGAGGAGATACTATTTCTATCCAAATGGTATTCAACTGTTTCATGGAATTTTCTAAGGCATCTGGCCTAAAAGCAAACACAACAAAGAGTTCCATATACTTTGGGGGAGTACCACAAGATATACAGCAGAGCATAGTACAAGTAACCGACTTTAGCAGGGGAGATTTGCCTTTCAAATACCTTGGAGTTCCACTTAGTACTAAAAAGATTTCTATGATACAATGTCAGCCCCTTCTGGAGAGAATATTAGGAAGAATTACCTTCCGGACTTCAAAGTACCTATCTTATGCAGGAAGGTTGCAATTGATTAAGACAATGATGTTCTCCAATCAAATATACTAGTCGCAGATATTTGTAATTCCTAAGAAGATGATGAAGAAGTTAGAAACAGTCTGTAGAACCTTTCTACAGACTAGAGGAACAAATGCTTCAAAAAAAGCTTTGCTATCATGGGACAAAGTATGCTCTCCGAAAAAGATTGCTGGTGGATATAATGTAATGGATAAAACTGGAATTTGCAAACTACTATGGAATCTGTATAAGAAGAAAGACAAATTGTGGGTTCAGTGGATTCATTTGTATTATGGGAAGAAGCAAAAAGTGTGGGAAACCAATCCAAGCAATGCATTGTGGATAGTTCAGAAAATCAGCAGGGGTCGATATGAAGGAACTGGCAGAATGGAACTACTTCTCTATCAAGAAGTGGTACAAAGGCATGCGAGGACAATATCAAAAAGTATCGTGGAAGATATTAACGTGCAACAATTTAGGGGCTCCAAAGTGGATCTTTGTGCTAAATCTAGCTCTGCAAAACAGACTCCTTACAAGAAGTAGATTCCAGGTGTGGGGAATTACAGATGAAGTAAGCTGCCCCTTGTGTACTGAAGAAGATGAGATCATAGATCATTTAATGTTTAAATGCAGAGTTACTGGAAGTATATGGAGCAAGTTGCTACATTGGCAAGGCATAACAAGATCTTCGATGGAGTGGCAAAGGGAGGTACAATGGGATAAAGACAAATCAACAGGAAACAATGCAAAAGCTCGAGTATATAGACTGACTTTGGTATGTGCAGTACATCATATATGGAATGAAAGAAACAAGAGATTATTCCAAGAAGAGCAGAAGACAATGGAAGTGATAGTTAGACAAATTATACAAGAAGTTGCAAATAAGGGATCAAGAATCAGAAAGTTAGAGAAGACAATGGAAGAAATGAATTTCTATCCTTAGTTTGATATAGAAGACTTGTAGTAGAAGTTGTGTGGAACTGGGAGTGTCCAGTTTCAGATTTTGACATTGTACATATTTGTTATTGGTAAATAAAATCATTTAATTACCCAAAAAAAAATCACCTTTTTTATAAGCAAATTCGAAAGCAAAAGAAAACATACCAAACAAACACAATTTAAAAAGATTTTTTGAAAGTAGGATTTAAGTAATATAAAGCGTCGTTTGGTTTTTGAAATAAGGGATAAAACTCGTGAAATAAGATGCAAGATTACTTTTTATATTGCGTTTGATTGGATTTTAGATATCTGGTATCACTTTAGGTTAGGGAGTTGGACCATAATAGCTCCACCACATTCCTAAAACGTGTTGCCCTCCTAAAAATTTAAACTCGATTTCTTTTGTAAGTTTTCTGATCCAAATAACGTGTTTCCCTCCTAATATTTGTTTTTAATCAAATGAATTAAACATTTACCGATAACAGTATATTCGCTAAATAATAATATTATTATTAATTTCGTATTATGATCTTGTCATTATAAAATAACTTGTACCAAAGATCCTCCAATTGTATATTGCATAGAACTTATAGTTTGTTTGGCTAAGCTTCAAAAATTAGCTTATTTTGAAAAATGCATTTTTTCGCAAAAGTATTTTTGGCGGGATCCAATTTGTGTCTGGTTAATTAATTTAAAAAGTAATTTCATGCAGTAATTAGTGTTTGACCAAACTTTTAAAAAGTATTTTTAAGTATATTTTTCTCAAAAATATTTTTCAAAAAAGTAAAAGCTACTTTTCTCTATTTTTCAAAAACTGCTTCTGCTTCTAATTAAAAATATATTCTTCTAAAAGCTTTGGCCGAACAATTCAATTTGTAAAATTTTCTTTTTCGTCCTCGGAAAAGCTTGGCCAAACAAGTTAGAAATTAAGTTGAAAATTTTATAGAAGCTGAGCTAAAAATAAGAAAGAAATCAAGATTTTGAAAAAAAAAATACAAAAAAGTTTTTTTTTTTTTGTTTCTTGCACTATATATATGTTATAATAATAATTTTATTACAAGAAACTTTTCTCTATCTGAACAACCGCTCCTTGTGAAAATACAGAGTAGAGAAGAAAAATGATACTGAATTATGCTTCTTCTGCGTTTGTCCAATGGAACAAAACTCCAAAGAAAATGGTATATTTCTCTGCTTCTGCTGCTAATTTAAATACGGAGAAGCTTAGAGAGCAATTAGACCATCTTCACAAGGAAGCACAAACCACAAGAAATAAAGGTATTATTTTGCCTTAATTTTTCTTATCATAAATGGGTTTGTTTGAATTTAGCTTTATGTTATGAAAATTACTTATTTGAGGATTTATGTGTGAGATAATACGAAGTTGGTGTATAAGATATTGTAAAGTTTATACCTTTAATTGATTTCTTCTTTTGGGGTGTTAAATTTAGTGTTGGTCCTGTTTGAATTTGGGATTTATGTTTTGTAAATTACTTAATATGAGTATTTAGATGTGAGATCTTACAAATATAGCTTTGATTGATTTCTACGTTTTGGGTGTTAAATTTTATGGTGTTTTTTTAATGAATTTGGACATTAGAAAAATTGAACTGTCATATAGGGTTCTTGATTCTGCGCTTGCAAGTTTTATAATTTATTAAGAAGTATTATTGAAAAGGTTGACTGCACCTCAAATGTTGTAGTTTAGATAATGTACTTGTGCCTGTAGGAGGTAGCAGAAACCCGATAGAATAGTCCAAGTACGTGCAAGTTCAAACATGGTGTGTAGGATGTTGTAAAGTTTATAGATTGATTGATTTCTATGTTTTGGGTGTTAAGTTTAGTGATGGGGTTTTAATGAATTTGGACATTAGAAAATTGAACTGTCATATAGGGTTCTTGATTCCGCGCTTGCAATTTTTATAATTTATTAGTAAGAAGTAATACTGAAAAGGTTGACTGCACTTCAATGTTGTAATTTAGATAATGTACTTTGTGCTGGTGGGAGATAGCAGGTGGCAGTGGAATAGTCCAAGTACGCGCAAGTTCACCTCAACACCATTGTCGTTTTAAAAAAGTGTTTAGACACAATAAGAACAAGATAAAAGGAAGAGAACGAACAAAAGGTGTCGAATGATGGCTGACTTGTCTTGTCTTTTCGTTTGATTGGCTTACGGATGGAAGGTTCAGACAAGAATTCCTAGGCCGAGTGTTGGGCTTTCGGGATCAAAGAATCTTAAGAATTGCCTCTCTTACTTTCATCTTTGGTTGATGAATTAAGATTGTCCCTCTATCTGAATGAAAGCCCGAGGATCGTGTAGTTGCAGCTCCGGGCACCATCAATTCTCTTACTCCTAGGTGTAGTACCACTTCCCTGGCTTGTTTGGGACTGAGGCGGGATTGTTGTTGTAGGTGTATTACCACTTCTATTCAGGGATAGGAGTAAACACTAGATGGTTCAAGAGCTTCCGCTAACACATCAAACAAGTCTAGATCACCACTTCTCTTAGTAATGGACTTCATTGAATTCCTCTGGAGAAACCACGACACTGGAAAATAGAAAGAATTTCCTTTTGTCTAAAAAATCTTGAAGGAGACGCGACTACATTGAACCTGATCATCTTAAATGGAATGCAAGCAGCAATGATTCAGTGAAGTCCTGTTATCGGCGACTACCAAAAACTGCTAGCACATTGAAACTTGGAATTGGAAGCATATTTGGAGTAAAATTCTGTTCAAATCTTTCAGTTGTTCTGCAGATTTCATTTTCTTAAAGACTTCACAAATTGCAGATGTCCGGCTGCATAGCTGTTTGTAGTATTTTCTTCATGTATGTAGATTTCCTTATTTTTATACTTTTACGGATAATTTTGTTCTTTGTTATGTTTCTTATCTATGTTCTAGGTTTTGTCCCTTATAGATTTTTATGTTTCTTATTATTTCACATGAAAAAGGTAGAAAGCTGAAATGACATGGTTATAACTATTTCGTCTTGGATCACTTTTATTCAATACTGTGTTTCTTTTTCCTTTAATCATTTAGTCATTGATTCGATGGACAGCATAATATTTATTGAACAGTTTTGAGTTCTTACTGATCAGAATCCTGGCTATTCAGCGAATAGTGCAAGATCGAGGCTACTTCGGTTGTCTGAAGCAGCGGAAAAATTTCGGCGACAAGCAGCCGTTAGTATTCAAACTGGAAAGGAGAATGACGCCAGGGAGCTACTTTTTCAAAAGAAGAAGATTATGCAAGCCATGGAGAAGTCAAAGAGCCGCATTGAATTGCTTGATGAACTTGCGGCAAAGCTTAATGAGGTATGGTTGACTATCTTTTAGTTTTCTCCTTTGGGTGGTTGCTTTCCTAAAGCTGAGGAAGTTGTTATGTTATCAAAGATCTAAACTCATTATGACACTTATCAAAAAAATAAAATAAACTAAAATAAAATCATTAGCACACTTCATAGATTCAAATCCCTACTCAACACGGTACCTTAAGGAGAATCCGAAGCTGGTTGCTAGCGGAAGTATTCCTTTCTGCAGGTTTGCCTCTTTCCTCATATGAAAGGGTTTAAAGATTGTGGTCTAGAACCTCATTGGGTGCCTCTATCTGTACAATGTAGTTGATGCAACATCAGATACCAAAAGGCGTTAAACTGATACAATTGTTTCTATCAAAATGGTTTTATGGTGTTGAGTTGTCATAAAAATAACCTGAGATTTTGATAGAACTTCTTAATGCCCCATGTCTTTGATTCTTTGATGGTGATATATGATCATTGATTATAGATATTGGCTGTTCTCGTAAGGTCACAAATTCAACTCTTGTAACAGCTCAACTAAATAACCAAAGGAGAATTATTCATTAATTTATCAGAGAGGGTATTTCTTTAGTTTACTGGATGTTGGTGAAGCAAATGAAATCTGTCATAGAAGATGATACTTTTGAGCTTTGATCAGTAGAACATTTTTAATTTGGAGAAAAAAGTAAGCATTTTTAGTTGTAGCTGATCAAGGATAAGTAATAAGGGAGATTTGTATCCTCGAAAAATACCTTTTAATTGTCTAACTTGCAAACCTTTTGCATCGCAGAGTATCCACAGCACTTTCTCAATTACTGCATTCCTCCTTATTTTCTCCAAAAAATGCTGGAGAGGAGGAAAAGGAAAGTTTAAATAAAGGGGGCATTTATGTCTTCATGTTGGTGCATACACATATAGTTTGGCATGTTACTATTCTAGAATTAATTTTAGAATTATTATGTGGATTGTAGATCCAAAGTCCAAATCAGAAAGTCCCGGGCCTTCTCGAGGAAGTGGTTCATTTCCTTGCCAGTTTTATTATGTGAGGAACTTAGTATGTAGGATCATCCCCAACTTCTAATTTGCTTATATTGGCCGTATATCATCATGCTTTAATTGTAGGGAATATGAACTTAAAAGTTGATTGCTAAATAATTTGTTGCCCGAGCAGTGCAGGGTACTTGAGGATCGCTTGAATCAATATTGATTGATTTAGCATCTGAAATGGTTAGTGTATTATTAATGCAGCACCTAGAAGGTGCTGTCGAAAGTATTTACATAGCGCCAAAAGTATATCCTTTCTATATCTTAGAAGGATTTGATACGAAACGAACACAAAAACACGAATATGGGAAAATAAGACGGAATCAAAGATGGGAGCTACACCCACATCAATTAGAAACTAGAACCAATTAGACTAAGAAAACCTAATTACCTCTCAGAATCAGTAAATTTAGACCCAAAGCTATTTGGATCCTCGAGAGGAATGCTTCCTCTTGCAAATCCAAGGGCAAAAGTGATGAAAAAGCAACAATTAGACCATAATTCCCACAAATCTAATCACTCACAAGCTAAACACTAAAATGCTCAAATTAAAGAAAGCAATTAATATAAACATAAATGCATAAATTCATAAAAGTAAATAAAGGGACTTCATCTCTATCAAGTCATCATTCATCAAGTCTAAGGAAAATGAGGGCTATAGTAGCTAGCTCATAATTACAAAAATATTCTTAATTAACTAAACTAGGGCTAGAAGATGCAATTCTAGTCTTGTTGCTAGTAAGTAGCCATGTCTTTCAATTTTTGTGGCCGCTCCTTGCAAATGGATGTCTTCCTTCACTCTTCAATGTGCTAGATTGCCATCTCTTCTGGATTCTATGAGTTCAATGACTGCTTCGGCATCATTTACATAGCTCCCTTTACGCCAAATCTAAAACAAAAGCAAACAATTTATTCTGATCTTCTGAATAGAATCTTTCTTGATGTACTTGTCCTTATTATATTTTGATTGTTGACAAGAAGAGTGTTTGAAAACTTAAGTAACTCTGAAATCCTTTTGTTCATGCAATGATATGCCTGATGTGGTAGCTGCTTTATTACATCTTATTTGAATATGAGTAGAGAATCCGCAAGTGTCTAGAGTAACAGACAAGGATGCTAAGGCTTCACATCAGCACTTAGCGTAACTTGTTTAGATATTGAACTTGATGTAACTATTGTCAACTTATGTTTTAATGAGCTACTTTTGTTGTAATTTAATCCCAGTATTTACTACTTTTCACAGTACTAAGTGAAGTGTCATTTCTTTCCAAGATGAATAGGTTTCTAATTAAAAAGTTCAGGTGAAAGAGCTACTCCCACTAATCATAGAACTGCATTTTAGTCAAAAGCTTCTTAAATATATATATATTATGCTCCCTTTTCATGACCTCGTCTATTTTCAGGCAATATCTATGAGGGAGAAGCAGTTAATCGGAAATGTTGCTTTTGACCTTGATATTGCTATAGATGATGCCCCAAGTCCTGTTCGAATAGTATCTCCAAAGGATGAAAATCCAGATAATTCAGATGAAAATGAAGACTTTGACCAGGAAACTATAAAATTAGATGATAGCCAAGAATTGCAAGCTCCCAATGATAATAATGCAGAACGTATAACTGATTATGAATTGAAAAATCTCGAGGTATCAACAAGTGGGAACATGTCCAAGGAAGCCGACAAGATCGATAGTTTAAAGGGGGTATCCTCATATGAGGAGTTTTTGGAACATATAGACCAACAACTAAGAGACATTGAAGTAGAGCTTATCACCTTTTTGAGATTTTCATCCTTAATACTTGAAAGCAAAGAGAAACTAGAAAACTCAAAGGTACAGCAAGCACTGGACGTTCTGGAGGGTGTTCATCAGCTTAGAGGGAGGTGATGTATAAGCAGATCCAGAAGCGAGTGAACTTTACTTCTCATTGCTCCACTTTTAGGTGGTTTTGTATATAAACTAGTCTCAAAAATCTGAACTTTTTTGCAGAATTGCAAGCATAGTGCAGAAAAAAGCAGGTGTAAGTTGAAGCTTTCTTTCACTGTATGCAATTCCTGCAGTGGTCGATGCTAAGGCAAAAGTTTAAGTGCGACTTCGGTAAGATCCTGTGCGCTCTCTCAGAAGATCAAGTTGCTGTAAGATAATAAGATATATGCTTCGTGAACAACAGGAGAAAACTACAGCCTTCTTTCAATGGTAGATATGAAATTCATCGTGTTCTTGTGTACTAATATATTTCTGCATTTTACCAGCTCCTTCATTCTCTTTCTCAATTGTATACTCAAGTAATCATATCTCAAGTATCAATTTTGCGTTACTATGTGCTCTATAAGGTGTTTCAATTTTTATAGCTGTATTTTTACCAAGTGTCATCTGATTGTTGGTTAGTGTGCTTCTGTTGCCCAAACAATCTGATCGTTGATTACATTTTGAACGGACAAAGATGAAAATTCTATGCAGAACTTGTGGCAATTTTTTTTTTAACTCATTCAGACAATCCTTAGGTAGTACTTTTATCTAGTATCTAGAAAACAGCATCTAGAAGAATGTACTTCTTTGCCGCTTTTGTTTTTTGGGTTTTTTTT